TGGTCATCTGAACGCGGGCGGAGCCGCGGGCAATGCTAGTTAATTATAATAGTAATTGGATTACGAATTGTAATTTATATATACATACATCTGTACATATAATAAAATTGTAACTAAGCCGAATCTGTACATTAACTATTTTTTGGAATAAACATTATTATCGATACAGATGCAGAATCTATAGTTTTTAGAATTTTTGTCTGTCTGTCTGTCTGTCTGTCTGTTACCGCATCACAGAAAAACCACTGGGGGCATTTTGATGAAATTTGGTATGGAGATAGCTGGTTATCCGGGGCAATATATAGGATACTTTTTACCGCGGGAAAATATCTCATTTCTGAGAAAAAATGCAAAAACTGCAATGTATAAGTATACTAATCTATAAAACAATAATTTGGTTTTTGGTCATCTGAACGCGGGCGAAGCTGCGGGCAATGCTAGTATGTAATATGTATGTATCTATATCTATTAAACAAAGTCGGATGTGTTACAACACTTATAACTCGAGAACTTTTAGACCGATTTTCATGGTTTTTGTATCGTTGGATTTTTCTAAGCCACGAATAGCAGAATAAATATTAAAATTTACAAAAAAATTAACTAATCACATAGCTAACGCTGCGTAATAACTATTTATGTCTATTTAAAACGTACCCGAGCGAAGCGAGGGTGAGCCGCTAGTATTATATAAAAAGGTTAAGTACGTTTTTCCAAGAATTACAAAATTGATTATATGAATATAACCTATTTACACTATCTACCTCGACACTCACCGAAGAGCTTCTATAAAAATAACTCCGCTACAATATAAAGCAGTCTGTCATAGAGTGGGTCCTAGCAATTCAAAAAAATTACCATTTTTCCGCCGAAGCTCTTCCCTTTAGTATCGGTCGATAGAAAATATTTTCTGGCTTTAATCCTAATGCACGTTTTGTTACGTTTAGTATTTCTTGAACCTCCCTCAATGTCAACTCAAAAGGATTTTATCGCGGCTTATATTTCTCTTTATTATACCTTGCATGACATAATGGTTGCTTGAGATATGAGTTATTATTATATTTTTGTCATCATTTTGCAATAGTATTTCTCATATATGTTTTTGAAAAAATTAAAATACATAATTTTGACGCCACGTTTGGCTCAGTTTGTAGTTACCCTACTTGCTTTTGCTATTCGAGTCCCGGGTCGGGCCTAGTTTAGTTATTGAGTCTTTCTGTATATTAAGTCTCAGTAACAGCCCGGAGTTCGGGAGTTGGCGGTGTTTCACCCCCGTGCCTCGGAGAGCACATAAAGCCGTCGGTCCTGCGCCTTAACTCACACTGGTCGTGTCGAGTGGTCGTCCCACCAGAGTATGAGAGTGACAGGAATAGAGAGTGCACTTGTGTCTGCGCGTACACTTGTGCACTATAATATCTCCTGCGCAGTTGGCTAGTTTCAATGAGATTGGTCGCCGTGGCCGGAATCGGTCAGGAGAACATCATCATCATCATCATTTATAACATAAAAGCTTGTATACATTATAACGTCAAAACAAAAATGTGTTCAAAATTTATTTCAAAATATATTAGAAAATTAGCTTAAAACTTTGAATAATACTAATAAAAATATTTTATAACTAATGAATATGAAACATGCAAATTACAAGAAGTTATGAGATGTCCAAGTATTAAGCTACGCCTAATCACAAGCAATGGACTGTGCCAATGAAAATGGAGAAAAAATTGATTGCAATTTAATATTTTTAACTAAATTTAAATTAAAGGCAAATAAAAAAATCTCAAGATATTACAAGTTACAAGGCGTCTTACGACTAAAAGGTTTAAGGACAGCATGTGCGATCACTACACTTTGAGTCCTCTACTCGAAAAATAATTAATAGCATTCCCAAAGAGAGTTAACGTCAGACAAGTGGCCGGTCGTACAACTTTTGCCAAAACCGATCAGCAAGTACGGAAGATGTACTGCGCCGACGCCAAGTAATTGGGAAATGGGCAGGGAGATGACCATAAATACAAATATATAAAATTATATATATACAAATATATAATTTTATATGAATAAGTAACATCTTATCGGACATGTTAAAATGGCCTAATATACCATTAAAATTATTTAAAGTTTTATTTTTAAATTATATTACATGATTTTTAACCGATCAAGAGAAAATATTATTAAAATTTTCAAACTCAATCGCACAATAATGAAGAAATACGGTGATTTAGTCAAAGTTTTTGGACAATACAAAGGAGTTTGGGAAGCGTGAACAATAAGTCTCGATAAACACATAATAAACACGACAAGTTATAACTTGTTCATTGTTAGCGATTCTAAATTATATAAACTATTATATTTAGATAAGCTTTTGTAACAGTGTATTAGTTTCAAGTTAAAATAAAGAATAGGAATACTATATTAAATATGAAAGTTTGTATGTTTGTGTATTTTTTTACCTGTTCGCACTGTCAATTAAGAACAAGTCCGAGAAAAAAGCGGGTAAGCTTATGACTAAATATTCTTACATAATAATAGCCCTTTTTAACGTCCCACTATTAGGCACGGGCCTTCCCTTGGGAGGAAGATCAGGCCACAGTCCGCCACGCTGGCCAAGTGCGGATTGACAGACTTCGCATATCTTTTGAAAACTAATAAGTTCTCTCGGAGAGCAGGTTTCCTTGTGATGTTTTTTTTACGAAAATCCAATGATGAAAATGATTAGCTGAGAATATCAGAGGTATGAGACCTGATATTTAAACCCGCTTCACTTGATTTCCCAAGCAAGCTCGTTAGCACTTAGCTACTACGGTATTTGACAAACGTATACATATTTTTTTAAATATGAGAACAGGCGTTTAGGTTACAATACATTTACGTTGGCGTTGCCCAAAAATATGTAGTTAAAATGCCCTAAAATTCACCAAAATATAAATTATAAAAAATGTTACTACATAGTAAATCTCAATTCTGAACGTTAACTATACAACTTTTGATTTCCTTGCTTGTGAAGGCTTAATTTGCTTATAATTTATAATATATAGTATATTTTTATATTTAGTACTAGCTGAACCGACATAAGTCGTCCTGGCCAAATTTTTTTTTTGGTAAACAGTCAGTTTGTCCAAAAAAACCCATACAAATAAAGCACTTTTACTTTTTCACGTATTTGTCCATATTTCTGAGACTTTTTTTCCCAAAAACCTTATTCAGGATATTAAGAATATTTTCGTCGACAAGTCAATGAACTTTCCAACGACCAGTATTTCAGTTGTATTTATATAGACTAGCGAATCACCCTCGCTTCGCTCGGGTTCGTCCCTAGCTTCATTCCCATACAAACTTTCATCCCCATTTTCTCCCCCTTAAGGGGTGATTTCCGAGATAAAAAATATGCTATGTCCTTCCCAGGGTCTCAAACTATCTTCTTACCAAATTTCATCTAAATCGGTTCAGTAGATCCAGAGATTACGTCACAAACTCACAATCTTACAAACTCACAAATTTTACCTCCCTATAATATTAGTATAGAGTATAGATTATATGTTCCCATTACACTATTGATTATTCCTCATAAACAGATAAATTTAAATTATAATTTAATAACTGTTTTAAAGCTTTTTTATGTGTAGAATTGATAATTTAAATTTTTTATTGCCTTACAATTGTTTTAATAGGTGATTTGTTAGAAGAAATATGTTATACATATACAACCAATCCAATCCAAATAATGCTTTTTACTAAATCGTAAGTTCGATACAAGGATTCGAACTTTGGACGTTTGGTTAATTACAATCAAATTAATCACTGTCTTTGATAGGAAGCTTTTTGAGACAAAGCATCTTATTATTGGGAACAAGCAATTTCGTAGCAGTCTCTGAGCCTAAAGACTCTCAGTGTCTGCCTTGGGCTTTTAGTTGTTTATTTAAGACACACGTTTAATGACTACGTCTTTCATTTAGCTTTGTGCAGCGTCCTATCGTATATCTTTAGCAAACAGTATGTATATAAAAAACCTTAGAACAATTATAGATTATTATTTAGATGGGATGGAAAATAAGTTTAAAGCAATATAAAATATGATGGATAAAACTTCTTAAATTATTAAATTAGTTAATACTGAAAAATAAGTTTGTCTCATTCTTAAGGGGATGTAATAGAACTTAGAAGTTAACAGTTTTGAGAAACGTGAGTTCACTTGAGAATAGCTGTAATTCTAATTATTATTATAGCTACAATTAAAAACATTTTTTTTTATTTCAGTCGGATATAATAAACTACAAAGTAAACGTTTTGTAATAAAAATAAAAAAACCGACTTCGAAAAAAAAAACAATAAAAAGGAAAAATAGCTGATTAGTAGTTTTCTTTTACTATAGATACCTAATCACTTGAAGTCGATGTGCTTTAATTATTGGCTGGCACCGACTTTCAAGTCGCTTTTATTTTATTTTTTTGTTTTTATTTTTTCATTTATTTGTGTAGCAAAGTAAGAAGTATTTTCAAAATTCTTAAACTTGGGGTTGATTTTTTTTTTAAACTTACATGGGATTGACTTTGTCCAATCCAATAAAAAAAGAATTATTTAAATTGGATACAGTGTAAAAAGCTATGCGTGATCAAACATAAAAAATACGTGTCAAATTGAGAACCTCCTATTTTTCGTCTATTAATTAAAAAGTGCATATCTTGAAATATCGAGAAAAAATAGCGAGTTAACTTTCCAAACCCAAAATTTATTTTTGCTTTCACTCTAAAGTTTTAATAAACCTATATGTAAGGTACAATAATTTGTTAGATTAATTTTAGATTTATTTAAAATATACGATATATATTTTTATAAAGCCCTATATGTTTATAAGATAATTATAGTGATTATTTTCTGCAATGAAGCTCAATTTTCCCTCGTAAATTGACTGGTAATTACCTACTCTAAAAAGATTTTGATCATTAAATTCTTACAATAAATTAAAAGCAATCTTAGAACTTAATTAACTTTGTAATTATTACCTTCAATATTATCTTCATTGTCCGTTTCGGTCATTTTTATTAACATTTTCACTTTGTTTTAATTATTCCAAAGAATTTTTTCATTTAAACATATTAAAAATGAGACTAAAATGGTATTTTTATCGAAAATCTTATTATTCTATCTCGTTCACGAAGTTTTGGTGGGAAAATGGGACGATCGACACAACCGTCTACCGGCAATGAGCAATTCATACTAACCTGTTCGCGAAAATTTTCAGAGACGCGGGAAAATGTGGCGAAGGGTTAGTAACTTTACGAATAGGATCTTGAAACAAACTATAAATAACTCTATATTATCAGTACATTGTATTAAGATGACGTAATTTGATGTAAATTTTAAGAAAAATTGAACTTTTAGCAATATCTCTTTTTACCTTTTACCATAAGATAAGACATTTTATAAATTAATGATAAACAATTATGTTAATTATACAATTCTACCTTACTCTTATCGCCTCTACTGATAACAAAAGCGCAAGTTTATTTTTCGCCCAACAATCGACATAGCGATTCAGCGGGGGAAATTCAGCTAGCATTCTTGCAATAATGGTATGAGGGCATGACTTGTGAAGTAGTTATTAGGGTGGGACTAAAAAACTCATTTTTTTTTTTTAGTTAATGTGAGAATATCGTTCAAAATGATGGGAAAAAAATCTGGTAAAATTTAAAGCTAAAGAAAAAATTTGCCGTTTTTTTGGCCCACTCTAGTAATCATTGGTATTTGTGTAAATAAATTATATGGACTTAGCCTCATTGTATTTTCTTTTCTTACAAAGTGACATAATCATTATTCAATTTAATATATGACTTAAGTTGGCTTCTGTCCATGTCATAATTAACTGAATTTAAAGCGTCATAATCTAGCCCCTACAATTACATAGGTTATAATTTTACTTAATAAAACAGAAAATTGCGTAAATAGAAAGTCTATTTAGTATTAATAAATCATTTTTATGTAGCAATATACACTACCATAAAACAGAATCATTTTAATATTAAAATAAAAAGAATTATAATAAAATATCCTTCAATAAATTGGCGCCAATTTTTTTTATGAAGAACTAGTTTATGACCACAGCTTTGCTCAGGTCAGAAACAAGAAAGAAGGAAAAGAACTTGATAAATACACAAATTCAAATAAGCAAAACATTACTTATCTCCATATGAATTTCACAGCTCACATTTACAGAGCCGTTAGGGCCTTTGTGCACTAATTTTACAAACGCGCCGACAACGAAAACGAACTTCGTCGCATAGTCTACGCTAATATACTTAAAAACACAGATTACTTACGTTAGTATGAAAATAAACGCGGAACAAACGCGCGTTCACTGCACGTCGAACGGACGCCTTTTTTTATTACATGAGTCTGAGCACAAACCTTTGTCCATGTCTATTTAAGAGCTTTTGTTTGTTTTATTTGGAGGTTCTATTTAGTTTCAAAAATTCGGTTTTAGAAAGGAGTATACAGAATTCTGGTTAAAGGAGCTCTCTCCCTGTGCTCCTAGGTCTTCTTGGCGAGGTCGAACGGACGTTGGCAGCGCGTTAAAAAATCATCGTGTACATAATTCCTTATTTAAAACACACAGATAAATAGAAGCCTACTGCGTTTAGTTCATAAGGTCGTCAGATTATAAAATGAGGCCTATTATAATATAGCCCTTAAATTCAAGGAATTTTACAATTATATAATATAGGACAATATGAGAAATTGTAATTGATATGAACGATTACAGCTGATAAGATCTCTCAGATTATCTCTCACGTTTGATAGTCTATCTCTCAGACTACGTCACAACGGGTACAGTGTATAAAATGAAAATAATGTACTTATATAAATAGACCTCTAATTATTATCAAGGCTTCACGATCTAACCACGTATGTTTCATTACATCGATATGTTCGTACATAAGACGTAATACAGCTACGGATTTCGTAGTCTGCAGTAGACTTGAACGTCATACAGGTTTCTTAATTTATTATTGAGGTCAGTGGATTCTTTTAGGTTGGAGGGTTTGCCATTTGCGTGTATAGCGTTCATACATGTAAATAAAGGTGACATTTATTTTGTTTCAAACTAACGACTTACTTAAGGTTTAGCTAATATAAGCCATGTTAATTTCTAAGAACGACTCGATTAAACCAGTTCTTGTGTTTTGGCGTGAAAAGATTTTCCTATAGTAAAAGTTATCGTAAATTCTCCCTGGAAAACACAATAACTAGTTCTGTAGATCTTAAGAGATACATCAAAACCGTATACTAGAGAATTGAAAATTTTTAAAAGGCCTACAGAAAAGTCCACAATAGCATACATAGTATGTCTATTCCCTAAGGAGTACTCGCAATAACTATTTTTATGTATTTAAAATATACTGACGAACACATCCGAGCGGAGCGAGGTTAAATCACTAGTTAATGAGATAAATTAAAATAATTTAATTAATTATAGCAAAATTAGTGAAAAATTAAATAATAAACTTATGTGAATTTACGGCATTCGTGTTATAGATACGTCCCTTGCGACGTAAAATTGGAAAGTTCGCATTATATCTATTTTCATGAAAAGAATAAACTTATGAACTGTCGTCTAATTAACGTTATTTTTATAAAGAAAAAGTTATATTTCATTAATATTTCGAACGAAATATTTCGTTTTAAAATGTTCCTTTAAACATAATACTGAATTTATAAAGGCTCAAATCTCAAGTCTCATTAAAAACCAAAGAGTGGATCGAATCTACGGTATCATAAATCCCAGAGGAATCGAGTAGGAATCAATTTCTTACCAACTATACCCCGAAATATATGAAAGGTGAACCTTCAATGTGACCTAAATATGTACATTTATACAGTTGCATTAAATTCTTATACTGTAAGGCACTGTACTAAACAAACAGTTTATTTTGATATAAGATATTTTAAGAGTGTACCTGCCAGGTATTGTTACTTTTATAGAAATGCAAAATGTTATCGTTTCAAGATTATTTTTAATTCTTATTTAAATTTTATTTATATATACATGACCAAATAGAGAGATATTTTAAAATTAAGAAACGAAAATGAATATAATTCATAACTAACTAGAATCACAGAACAACGACTTCAAGATTATTGTGAATTATTCGACCCATGAGGTGATTTTTTTTTCTTGAAGTTTATATAGTAGATATAACTTATTTCTTAAAGAAATAATCATGACAAGCGAGTCACAAATTGGCGAAAATATTGTATAACTTATGTATGACACAAACAAAAAACATACAATTAAATTAGTATTTCTTCTTCTTGTAAAGTTGGTCCAAAATGCCAGCATTAGCCGTGTCTGGAAGACAAAGGATTCCACATTTGTTTAGTTTTTTGAAAGACTAATTTTCCACAAATTTTGATTCGGTTAATAAAACTTATAAGTTAAACTCAATAAAAATGTTATTTTGTTTTATCAAGAAAGTAATCAAAAATTGTCATGACGTTTTTTGATGAGATTTGAAACTAGCACTAGCGCTATAAACCTGAACTTCCCTGTAAATGAACTAGCGCAATTTTTAAATGGCCTTGTTTTAAGCAATTACTGGGGCACTTTCTTCAATTTTGAAATATAGGAATCAATATGAAGTCCCTAATGCTAGAGTAAGCTTAATGCACCACAATTATACGCGAAAAATTTGTAAGCATAAAGTGACACAAACGAATATAAATGTTGAAAAATGTAAGGTACTAGTGCAACTAATAGCATACGTAACTCTTTGTCGAAATATGATTAATACGCTTGTGAACGTATGAATCTATCGCATTTGAATTATAATATACTAGCAAAACCCGCGGCTTCACTCGTTCTAAAACTACAAAAAATCTCTGAAAAGGTAGGTTTCATAAAAACTTTCATTCTATATTTTAACCCCTTATGGGATGAATTTCGTAAACTGCTAAAACACATATTTATTTAATTGTATTAAAGAGCATTAATACCAAGTTTCAAGTAATTCTGATCATAAATATTCTTTTGGGTTGTATTATAACGTGTTTTCCCTTGGGAATGAAACATCTCCCGCGATAGATAGTAGCCTATGTCACTCTGCAACCCTCCAACTATCTCCACACAAAAAAATCACGCCAATCCGTCACTCTATTTCGATGTGAAAGAAGGACAAACAAACAAATAAACAACACACACTATGAAATTTATAATATTAGTATGGATAATTTATTTTTAATATTATAAACTCTTAAATTTTAAGTGTACCTGCGACAAGGTATTTACATTAATACACTGCGTGACTATATTTGGGGCTGCATGAGCTGTATCTTATTATACACTCTATTCTCTCCATATTTGTAATATAACTAAATAATTTTCGAGTTTATAAACTAATCAATAAAACATATATTGTTTCATTATATTATATAACGGGTCAAAAGAAAATGTGAATCATAGACTTTTAAAAAAACTATATTGTTCAAACTCTAGTCTGTTCTTGAGATTCCGATGAAGAAATGTAACCTTAGCCGTCCCGACAGATGTTGTTATGTTTAAATTAATATAGAAAAAACGAAAACAAACTAACAACAGTTAAAAAATATACAGATAACCTCATATAAAGTACACAAAAGAAATTTCATCAAAATATGAGCTCTTTAGAATAAGAATCACGAACACATGCATGTCAGAATTTTATATATAAAGAATATTAAAGATACAGATTATAAATAGCATATTTCAATGAATATCCCTTTAGTCACAGACTAAATTTACCTTTTTGACGCTGAGTACTGTACATTATTCGCAGCATTCCTAGTGTTAAAGTTTGTTAATAAACATAATATATTAGATAATATTACATTTAACTATTAGTTTAATGAAATATTTAATACTTTGTAGATTTTAAGCTACATTTATTTATTTAGACATTTGTGATAGGTATTTCTTTTTGCGTGTCTTATATGTATATAGAAAATAAATTATTTGATAAAAATATAAACAGTTAAAATAGTTTACAATAAAAAATAATTAAAAT